TCAAGGTGGGCCCGGCCTGGGATTCCAATGGTGTGGGTCAAGGTGGGTCCGGCCTGGGATTCCAACAGCCTGAGATTTGGTGGCATTGATGCTGGCTTTCAGCAGCGGTGGAAAGTGTGGTTTCTGTCTTTTCCTCAACCTTGGGAACCCATGAGCCAAGAATTGAACAAAGATTGACTTTGTCTTAATTTTTTTATATATGGTTTCTGTTACTAATATAGGCACTGGAGTATGGCAACTTAAACACTTTTCACTGTATTTTTTCTAAAACTACGAATTACAACAAATTACTATTCTATTCTATTCATAGAATCCCTACAGTGTGGAAACAGGCCCTTCAGCCCAACAAGTCCACACCGAACCTCAGAACATCCCACCCAGACCCATCCCCCTATAACCCACCTAATCTACACCTCCCTGAACACTACAGGCAATTTAGCATGGCCAATGCACCTACCCTGCACACCTTTGGATTGTGGGAGGAAACCAGAACACCCGGAGGAAACCCACACAGACACAGGGAGAATATGCAAACTCCACACAGACAGTCACCCGAGGCTGGAATCGAACCCGGGGTTCCTGGCGCTGTGAAGCAGCAGTGCTAACCACTGTGCCACCGTGCCGCCCCACTCAACACTCAATTGTCCATTTCTTTCCGCTAATGCCTTAAAATTCTCATGGCACAACCCTCCCTATCTCTGTAATTTCCCAAAGCTCCACAACTTGTGAGATCTCTGAACTCCTTAATTCTGCTGTTATTATCGTCTCTGATTTTAATCACTCTGTCATTGAGCATAGTGCCATCAGCTGCCTGGATCCCAAACTCTAGAATTCTCGCCCTGTACCAATCCACTTCTCTACTTCAGTTTTCTCCTTCAAAACACTCCTTAAAACCTACTGTTTGGCCAAGCTCATGGTCGATTGTCCATATAGCGATTATAACGAGGTCATCCAGGTGGACCTCATAGAATAGGAGTTCCTTAATTGGGGCTGTTAATCTGGTACAATCAGGGAGCCCTGGCTGACAGATAAACAGGAACAAAAACAAAGTTGCTGGAAAAGCTCAGCCGGTCTGGCAGCATCTGTGAAGGAAAAAACAGAGTTAACGTTTCGGGTCCGGTGACCCTTCCTCAGAAGCATCTGAAGTTCTGAGAAGGGTCATCGCACCCGAAACGTTAACTCTGTTTTTTTCCTTCACAGATGCTGTCAGACCGGCTGAGCTTTTCCAGCAATTTCTGTTTTTGTTCCTGATTTACAGCATCCGCAGTTCTTTCGGTTTTTATGACAGATAAACTGGGTGAGTGTCAGAGATGCTGACACTCTGGTACCTGACTTTGAGGCATACTAAAGTCAAGGACTATTCATGTCTGTCTCATGGTGTTTGAGAATGTTCCCGTGATGTCCTTTGGAATATTTTACTGTGTTAAAGGTGTTTTATAAATACAGGTTAGTAGTTCTGCTGCAGTTTAATCACCTCCTCCAGAAACTTTATTGAATAGCTGCTGTTATGATTGGTAAGTGTGTGTGACAAAGTGCCACTAAGTGTGAGCTGATTGATTTGCTGCCTTTTTTGGGTGACAGAGGCTGAGAGAAGAATGTTGATAGGATCATAAAAGAGCATTATGGTTTTCATCAAACTGTTTGTGATCTTTATCATTGTCGCTGTGATTTGAGTGAAACATACAGTCCGATTGGGATCAGCTGGACCAAATGATGACTGGATATTGGACTCTACACACCAGATCTCACTGGCTCCTGGGCTTAGCCTGCTGATCTAAGCTGCTGGTAAGGTGTTTAGCATGCTTGCCTTCATTACTCAGACCATTGAGTATAGGAGTTGGGACACCATGTTGCAGTTGTCCAGGACATTGGTGAGGCCACTTTCGGAGTACTGTGTACAGTTCTGGTCGCCCTGCTATAGGAAGGATAATGTTAAGTTGGAGAGGGTTCAGAAAAGATTTACCAGGACGTTGCCAAGACCGCAGGGTTTGAGTTATAAGAAGAGGCTGGATATAAACTGGGTCTTTTTTCACAGGAGCATAGGATGTTGAGGGGTGACATTAGAGGTTTATAAAATCATGAGGCCATAGATAAGGTGAATAACAAGGGTTTTTTCCTTAGGTAGGGGAGTTCAAAACTAAAGAGCATAATTTTAAGGTGAGAGGAGAAAGATTTAAAAGGGACCTGAGGGGCAACGTTTTCACACTGAGGGTGGCTCATGTGTGGAATGAACTGCCAGAGGAAGTGGGAGATGCAGGTACAGTTACAACATTTAAGAGACATTTGGCAGTTCAGAGTCAACCACATTGCTGTGGGTCTGAAGTCACATGTAGGCCAGGCCGTGTAAGGATGGCAGACACATGAATAGGAAAGATTTCAAGGGATATGAGCCAAATGCAGGTAAGTGGGACTAATTTAGTTTGGGATCATGGTCAGCATAGAAGAGTTGGACCGAACAGCCTCTTTCTGTGCTGTATGATTCTATGACTTCTATGGAATCTAACTCTGAACACAGTAGGGGTGGCTGGATATGATCTCAGGTTCCTGCTGCTACCTGTATAATCCTGGGAACTTGAGACCTGACCTCTAGATGGTCACTAACAGAGAGCTGAGATAACACCACTCCCGCCTACAACATTACTTCCTGATAATGTTGACATGCCTTGCATAGTCTGTATGAACAGTAATGTTGGCAAGTCCTTGGGTGACAGACTGGCTTTTCTTGTAACTTGCAAATCTATTTTTAGCAGAAACCGTTTCTAGAGAAGCCATTGTACAGTAGAAAATGCTGGAAATCTTAAATGTCAACAAAAATTGTCAGGAAGATTTTTGATAAGAGGTACAGTCAGGATGTGAGGAAGACTTTTTTTCATTTAACCAGTTTTTCCTAATTAACCTGTTTGAGGATGTTATTACACACCTCTGCAGCAGTTGGGACTTAAACCCAGGCCTCCTGGTCTAGGGATAGGGATTCTACCACTGTGCTACAAGAGGGCCTGGATCTTTTATACACAGCAAGTAGTAAGTGATATGTTAGAAATGACAGCTGCCTTGAAGAGTAAATTCCTTCAGAGTTAATTGAAAGCAGGTGATGCTATATAAGAGCTGGAGTGTTTTAGGGCTCTGGTGATGCAGTGGTAGTGCCCCTACCTCTGATTCAGGAGGGCTACCTTCTGCTCTTATGAGCATTTCTGATTTTAATCACTCTGATGACCATCAATCCACTGTTGATTGTCAGGAAAAACCCATCTGGTTCACTCATGTCCTTTAGGGAAGGAAACTGCCGTCCTTACCTCGTCTGGCCTACATGTGACTCCAGACCCACAGCAATGTGGTTGACTCTGAACTGCCCTCTGGGCAATTAGGGATGGGCAATAAATGTGGCCTAGCCAGCGATGCCCTCATCCTTTTAATAAATAAAGAAAAAAAGGGTTCCACCTGTTCTAGAGGTGTGTCATAACATCTCTGAACAGGTTGATCAGGAAAATAAGAATTGGGCTTTTCCTGGTGCTATTGGAGAGGGGGCTCACTGTGTCTGTGGCATTCCTAAGACTTTTCAGGCTGTTGAGCACAGTGAGGGCTGGAGTGCATTTTTTTGGTTTGGTAAGTATTCTAACATTGTTTCAAAATAATGTTGTGGTCCCCATAATAGGGCTGTTTTGTATCTGAATTAACTTCTGGATAGGGACATGATCGAGAAGGGAAGAGTAGAAACTGGTGCACGTACTGGGCTTTGTTTAACTGTTATAAGACAGTCGTAAGTCATGGTTATTCTGTAGCTGCTAGATTCAGTATATGCATATTTGTATGTGCAACAATAAAGACCTGGAAAGTGTTGCCTATGAGGGCAATGAAAGCAAAAACGCTGATTGATTCATAAAGGAAATTAAATAGACACTTGAAAGCAATACATGTGCAGGAGTTATGGAGATTGAGAAGAGGTGTGGAATGCCAGGAAGCAATGCAAGATCATATAGGAACTGACCATTGTAATAAAGCAACACCACTTTAGTAGACAAGGGCAAAGACACTGAACTCATTCTTTTTCAAGTGGTCTTAAAGCAGGTCAGACCTGGCTCTAAGTTCAAGTTCAGTGAGAGTAATGCATCTTAGCAGCTGAAAATCCACCTGGGAGATATTGCCATGTTCAAGATCTAAAGAGCCATCAAGAACTAGATGAACAATAAGGTGCCTGGGATCACAAGATGTCAGGAGTGTTGAAACAATGCCAAGAGCACCATCAGAACAGAGCACACCAACATCGTCAGCAAGATGTGAGGTTTAGAGTATATCCTGGAACGAGGAGTAATCATCAAGCTCCCAAGGAAGGAGACCTTCAGTAGCTACAATTACGAGGGAGACACCATACTGCGGTCAGTCCCTGGCAGTGCTCCTCAACAGGTTAAAAACTGAAGTAGACAGTGTCTTTCCATAAGACCATAAAATGTAGGAGCAGAATCAGCCTAATGAGTCTGCTCCAACATTCAATCATGCCTGATATGTTTCTCAACTCATTCTCCTGCCATCTCCCCAAACCTTTGATCCCCTTACTAATCAAGAACCTATCTATCTCTGCCTTACATACTCTAATAACTAGTCCTCCACAGTCCTCTGTGCCAATAAGTGAATCCACAGATTCACCACCCTCTGGCTGAAGAAATACCTCCTTGTCTCGGCTCTAAAGCATCATCCATTCACCCTGAGGCTATGCCATTGGGTCCTAGTCTCTCCTATTAGTGGAAACATCTTCTCTGCGTCCACTCTATCCAGGCCTCTCGATATCCTGTAGGTTTCAACCAGATTCCCCCTCATCGTTCTAAACTCCATCAAGTACAGAACCAGAATCTCCAATTGCTCCTCATATGAAAAGCCCTTTATTCCTGGGATCATTCTTGCAAACCTCCTATGGATTCCCTCCAACACCAGCACATCCTCCCTTAGATACAGGGCCCAAAACTGCTCACAATATTCCAAATGTGGTCTAACCAGAACCTTATACAGCCTCAGCAGTACTCTTGAAATGAATGCCAACATTGCATTTGCTTTCCTAACTGCCAACTGCATGTTAACCTGAGAATTCTGAACTAGGACTCCCAAGACCCTTTGTCCCCAATTAGAAAATAGTCGGTGCCCCTGGACTATTTGGATGTGAACATCAGAGGTATGGTAAGTTTGCAGATGACTCCAGAATTGGAGGTGTAATGGTCTGTGAAGAAGGTTACCTGAGAGTACAATGGGATACCTCAGATGGTCTAATGGGCTGAGGAATGGCGGATGGATTTTAATTTAGATAAATGTGAGGTGCTGCGTTTTGGAAAGGCAAATCAGGGCAGGACATACGCTTAATGGTAAGGTCCTGGGGAATGTTGCTGAACAAAGAGACCTTGAAGTGCAGGTTCATAGTTCCTTGAATGTGGAGTTACAGGTAGACAGGATAATGGAGTCAGCATTTGGTACGCTTGCCTTTATTGGTCAGTGTATTGAGTATAGGAGTTGGGAGATTCACACTGGATATTGCCTGGGATGGAAAGTCTCAGATATGAGGAGAGACCAGATAGGCTGGATTTGTTTTCCCTGGAGCAGAGGGGGATCTCCTCGAGATAAACAAAATTATGAGATCATGAGAATCCTTTCCCCGTAGCAGACATGCCTAAGACCAGAAGGCATAAGTTTAAAGTGAGGAGTAACTGGTTTAGAAAAGATCAGAGGAAAATGTTTTTCACCCAGAGGGTGGTAGAAATATAGAATGTACTGTCTGAGAGGGTGGTGGAACAGGTACTCCCACAACATTGAAGAAACATCTGGATGAGCACTTAAACTGCCAGGGCATAGCAGGCTATGGACCAAATGCAGGTAAATGAGATTAGTGTAGTTTGGTCAGCATTGACATGATGGGCTGAAGGGCCTGTTTCTATGCTGTATGATTCTGGGACTCTGAATTTCTTTGTGACTTCCCATATTTCCCATTGTTTGATCCAAAAGCATACCTGACGAAAGATTGTACACAAGTGGGACACTGAAATGAAAGGTGAAGCATTGGGGCAGTGTTGAACAGGTCACTACAGGGTGGGTAAGTGAGGTGCACATGGGTGTCACCAGTTTGTGAGTTTTCATCAATCAGTAGAGATGTATGGGAAGTGACATTTGCTCATTCAGGAAGCCCCAGGGAGGGATATTGAGCAGAGGGTTCTTGTTATGATGTGCATTGTTGCATTTTTCTAGAAGTCATTATAACATAAAGGATATCCTTCCAGTTCAGCTTTCATTTGTGCTGAATGTATTCTCTATGTATTTGTTTAGCAACACACTAATTGTTCCTGAACCTAAAGAAAAAAAGTCAACATCTAAAGTTCGAACTCTTCTGGATCCTTTTGACCAAGACTTTGAGAAGTAAGTGAGAGATTTTTACATTTAGTAAGAATATAACAGCAGGAGTAGGCTATTCAGCCCTGCAAACCTGGTCAGCTGATGAAGGCTGAATTTCACTTTTTCATCTAACCTGAGATAGACTGGACACTTTCCAACATCCCTGCTGGGTCCAGCCCTCACAAACATCATTGCTGCTCTCTGAGAAATGTGCCTTTGATGGAATGACATCCAACTTTCTACCTGTTCATATTTCCAATACATAGCTGAGACTTCTGCTATATTTGAATTTCCATTTGCTTGTAAGATTTTCTTTGCACATCTTAATGAGTGCCTCTAGCACTTAAATTTGAAATCAAATGAGATCCCTTTTCTCGATGTCCTAGTTACAAAATTGGCTGGAGGTTCTCTGCAGTTGTCTGCCACAGGCCACTATCGATTGTAGGAAAAACCCATCTGGTTCACTCATGTCCTTTAGGGAAGGAAACTGCCATCCTTACCTGGTCTGGCCTACACGTGACTCCAGACCCACAGCAATGTGATTGACTCTTAACCGCCCTCTAGGCAATTAGGGATGGGCAATAAATGCTGGCCTAGCCAGCATTGCTCTTATCCATGAATGAATTTAGAAAAAGTGTGGCAAGAGTCATGATAAAAGGATGACCTAAAAACAGCGGCACATTCCTATGATCACAAGAACATATTGTGGAGATAATGAATTGACAGCACAAAATGGTATATAACTATAAGTGGTACAAAGGAAATTCAGTCATTAACCTAAAGGTGGTGAGAGGAGAGATGCTAAATTGCATCTAGTTTGAAGAAAGGAAGAGAAGTGCTCTACAAGCCAAACATGATCATGGAATCCCTGCAGATAGAGGCCATTCAGCCATGGAGTATGCACTGACCCTGCGAAGTGTATCCCATCTGATCCCCATAACACATTTTCCATAGTTCACCCACTTAGCTTACACTACGGGTAATTTAGCATGACCAATCCACCGACCCTGCACATCTTTGGACTGTGGGAGGAAACCGAAGCACCCAGAGGAAACCCACGCAGACACGGGGAGAATGTGCAAACTCCACACAGACAGTTGCCTGAGGGTGGTATTGAACCCAGGTCCCTGGTGCTGTAAGGCACTAAACCACCCTGCTGCCCCAATTAAATGGAAAAGCTGAGACAACAGTGAAAATCACCAAAGGAATTGTAAAGAAATTAAGTGGTTCCAACACAAGGTAATGTTTGAGTGGAGAAACATACCTGCTGCAGGCATAGAAAGTAGTCCACTGCAAAAACTAATGTCACGCTACACACAACTACTCATCCAATAGCGAAAAAGCTATAGAAACCAGAAGTAAAAGCAGTGCTGAATGAAAATCAAGGTGAAACAGCAGAAAGTCAAATTTCATTTTGACAAGACATCCAAACCATTGAGCATTGGAGAGCCAGTCAGAGTACAAACCTTCACCACTCTCAACAGGTGATCAATCGGGAACTGTGTCAACTTGATCATTTGCAGTGGAGATGGATGACTGGATTTACTGTCACAACCACAGAATACACATAATTAATAACTCACCAACAATTGTAATCAATAACATGCCTCAATTAATACACACACTTGGGAGAAGCTGTTCCAGTGAACCCTGCTGCCCTACAGGATTTTAACGTTAATGGGAGGAGTGGTAACCAAAGCTCACTGCTCCATGATTTGTACCAAATGTATAAACGTATTATTTAGTCACCAAGAATGGTCAAATTTGTTTCTCTTTGTTACTGTTATCCTGATCAAAAGAGCCTTTCACTGGGTTTCTCCAATAAACTCAAAAATAATAATTTTTTAAAGAATAAGTTTGTTTTCTTTATTCACCCTAGGATGTGGGTGTAGCTGGCTGGTCCAGCATTTAATACCCATCTCTAGTTGCCCCTTGAGAAGGTGGTGGTGAGCTGCCTTCTTGAACTGCTACAGTCCATATATTGCAAGTAGACCCACAATGGCCTTAGAGTGGGAATTCCAGGTTGATGACCAAGTGAAGGAACGGTGATATATTTCTAAGTCTAGATGGTGAGTGGCTTGGAAGGGAATTTACAGTGGGTTGGCATTCCCATGTAGCTGCTGCCCTTGTCCTTCTAAATGGAAGTGGTTGTGGGTTTCGGTGGTAGTGTATTCTTTCTTCCTTATTCATTCATGGGATGAGAGTGTCGCTGGCTAGGCAGCATTTGTTGCCCATCCCTAATTGCCTAGAGGGCAGTTAAGAGTCAACCATGTTGCTGTGGGTCTGGAGTCACATGTAGGCCAGACCAGGTAAGGATGACAGATTCCTTCCCCAAAGGGCATTAGTGAACCAGATGGGTTTTTCCCGACAATTGGCAGTGGATTCTCGGTCATCGTTAGACTCTTACTTCCAGACATTTTTTATTGAATTCAAATTCTACCATCTGCCGCAGTGGGATTCAAATCTGGGTCCCCAAAACATTATCTGCGTCTCTGGATTAACAGTCCAGAGATAATACCACTATGCCATCGCCTTCCCTTGATCTCTGTATGGCAATCTTTGGTGAATTTCTGCAGTGCATGTTGTAGATAGTATGCATTGCTGCATCGGTGGTGGAGGGAGTGGATATTTGTGGATGTAGTACCAATCAAGCAGCTGCTTTGTCCTGGATGGTGTCAGGCTTCTTAAGTGTTGTTGGAGCTGCACTCATCCAGGCAAGTGGGGAGTATTCCATCACACTCCTGACTTGTGCCTTGTAGATGGTGGACAGGCTTTGGGGAGTCAGGAGGTGAGATACTTGCCACAATATTCCCAGCCTCTGACCTGCTCTTGTAGCCACTGTGTTTATATAGCTAGACCAGTTGACTTTCTGGTCAATGATATTCCCCAGGATGTTGACATTGGATATTCAGTGATGGTAACACCATTGAATGTCAAGGAGCGGTGGTTAGATTGTATCTTATTGGAAATGGTCATTGTCAGGCATTTCTGTGGCATGAATGTTACATGCCGCATGTCAGTCCAAGCCTTGATGTTGTCCAGATCTCGTTGCGTTTGGACATGGACTCCTTCAGCGTCTGAGGAGTCATGAATGGTGCTGAGCATTGTGCGGTCATCAGTGAACATCTCTACTTCTGACTTTATGATGGAGGAAAAGCCATTGATAAAGCAGCTAAAGAAGGATGGGCCTAGGACCTGAGTTGAGGTGACTGACCTCCAACAACTACAACCATCTTACTACAACCATCTTCTGATGCACCAGGAACATCTCCAACCAGTAGAGAGTTTACCCCCGATACCCATTGATTCCAGTTTTGCTCGGGCTCCTTGATGCCACATTCGGTTGAATGCAGCCTTTATATTACGGTTTGTCACTCTCAGAGAGTCATAGTCATAGAGTCATACAGCATGGAAACAGACCCTTCAATCCAACCAGTCCATGCCTAACATAATCCCAAACTATGTTAAGTATATCCAAGACTGAGACATAGATTTTTTAAAAATCAGGGAGGGAACCGTTATAGGGAAAATGCAGCAAAGCGAAACTGAAGATGATCAGACCAGCTATGATCTTATTGAATAGCAAAGTACACTTGATGGGCTAAATGGCCGACTTCTATTCCAGTGTCTTATGGCACTCATGTGAATGATAGGAATTGGTGAGAAGTACTCAGGAATTTGGTGAGGAGTACTCTCACCTCACCTCTGGAATTCAGCTCTTTTGTCCATGTTTGAACCAAGGCTGTAATGGGGTCAGGAGCTGAGTGGCCCTGGCAGAACCCAAACTGGGCGTCACTGAGCAGGTTATTGCTGAGCAGGTGCTGCTTGATAGCGCTGTTAGTGACAACTTCCATCACTTTACTGATGATCGAGAGGAGGCTGATGGGCCAGTAATTAGCTGGGTTGGATTTGTCCTGCTTTTTTATGTAGACGATGTACCTGGGTAATTTTCCATAATTTTAGATGGATCCCAGTGTTATAGTTGAACTGGAACAGCTTGGCTAGGGGAGCAGCAGGTTCTGGAGGACAAGTCTTCAGTACCATTGCCGGAAAGTTGTCAGGACCTATAGTCTTTGCAGCATCCAGTGCCTCCAATCATTTCTTGTTATCACATGGAGTGAATCAAATTGGCTGAAAACTAGTATCTGTGATGCTGGTGACCACTAGAGGAGGCTGAGATGGATCATCAACTTGGCACTTCTGGCTGAAGATTGCTGCGAATGCTTCAGCCTTATCTTTCGCACTGATGTGCTGGGCTTTTCCATCATTGAGGATGGGGATATTTGTGGAGCCTCCTCCTCCAGTGAGTTGTTTAATTGTCCACCACCATTCACGACTGGATGCGGCAGGACTGCAGAGCTTAGATCTGACCCGTTGTTTATGGAATCAATTAGCTCTGTCTATCTGCCATCCTCCATCCCCCACCAGGAGGGTCTTAGGGCTCTCCACTTCTTCCTGGAGCAAAGGCCTGAACCGTCCCCACCCACCCCCACCCTCTTCCACTTGGCCAAGCCCGTCCTCACTCTCAACAACTTCTCCTTTAATTCCTCTCATTTTCTTCCGGTCAGTGGGTGGCCATGGACCCCTGTTATGCTTGTCTCTTTGTGGGGTACATGGAACATTCCTTGTTCTAGTCCTATTCTGGTCCCTACCAACAACTTTTTCTCCGATACATCAATGATATTATTGGTGCTGCCTCTTCCAGAATTGGAAAAGTTCATCCATTTCATTTCTAATTTCCATTCTGCCCTCACTTTCATTTAGTCTACCTCTGACTCTTCCCTTCCCTTCCTCGACGTTTCTGTTTCCATTTCTGGGGATAGACTGGCCACTAATATCCACTATAAACCCACCAACCTCCACACCTACCTGGACTATATATCCTTGCACCCTGCTTTCTGTAAAGACTCCAGCCCATTCTCCCAGTTCCTCTGTCTCCATCACAAGTGTTTCAGTGATGCCAGCTTCGACGAGGGAGCCTCCACAATGTCGACCTTCTTCCTCAACCAAGGATTCCCCAGCACCATTGTCGACACGGCCCTCAACCGGGGTCCAACCCATCTCCCGCACTTCCGCCCTCACCCCTTCTCTTCCCTCCCGCAACAGCGTTAGGGTTCCCCTTATCCTCACCTACCATCCCATCAGCATCCACTTCCAGAAGACCATCAGACGCCATTTCCACACCTCCAGCGAGATGCCACCACCAGACACATATTCCCCTCCCCTCCCTTGTCTGCCTTCTGCAGGGACCGTTCCCTCTGGGATACACTGGTCCACACTTCCTTCACACCCAACACTCCCCACAGCCCTACGGTACCTTCCCCTGTAACCGGCGAAGGTGCAACACCTGCCCATTTACCTCCTCCCTCCCCAGTATCCAAGGGCCCAAATATACGAAACAAAATGAAAAAGTCAGCTCAGCAAGCAAGTCAACAACCTCACCCACAATCCGAGCTACAGATCTTTGCCAAAACCTAAATATACCTTCCAGGTGAAGCAATCATTCACCTGTACTTCCCACAATCTAACCTATGGCCTTCACTGCTCACAATGTGGTCTCCTCTACACTGGGGAAACAAAGCTTAGACTGGGTGACCGCTCCACAGAACTTCTGCGTTCTGCCTGCGAAAAGACCCTGAGCTACCTGATGCCTGTCACTTTAACACACCACCCTGTTCCCTGGTCAACATCTCCGTCTCTGGCTTGTTTCAGTGTTCCAGCGAAGCTCAACGCAAGCTGGAAGAACAACACCTCATTTTCTACTTGTGGACCCTGCAGCCCTCCAGACTCAATATCAAGTTCAATAATTTTAGGGCCTGAACTCTTCCATGTCCTGGCCCCCTACCCCACACACCAGGCCTTGTTATCACACAGCCTGCCATTACACACTACCTATTGTTAGTTACTCACAGTCTCCATTAACAGCTACTCACCCTCACAACCTGATCGTTATCAACCCCTTTGTCTATCCAACTGTTCTTCTCTCTGGGCTCTATCCCCACCTAACATTTACTCCCTACCCCCTCCCCCTCCCTATCTTCTGCATATAAACCAACATTTTCCTAGCTACCATCAGTTCTGAGGAAGGGTCACCAGACCTGAAATGTTAACTCTGATTTCTCTTCACAGATGCTGCCAGAGCTGCTGAGCTGTTTCAGAAACTTCTGTTTTTGTAGCTCTGAGTCTCACTTGCTGCTTATGCTGTTTGGCGTGCAAGTAGTCCTGTTTGGTGGCTTCACCAGGTTGATACCTCATCTTCAGTATGCCTAGTGCTGCTCCTGGCATGCCCTCCTGCACTCTCCATTGAACCAGGGTTGATCCCCTGGCTTGATGGTAATGGTTGAGTGGGGGATATGCCGGGCCATGAGGTTACAGATTGTGCTGGAGTACAATTCTGCTGCTGTTGATGGCCCACAACATCTCATGGATGCCCAGTCCTGAGTTGCTAGATCTGTGCAAAGCCTGTCCTGTTTAGCTCAGTGGTAGGGTCACACAGCATGATGGAGGATATTCTCAATGTGAAGGCAGGACTTTGTCTCAACAAGGACTCTGTGGTAGTCACTCTTACCGATACTTTCATGGACAGATGCACCGGCAGCAGATAGTTTGGTGATGAGGTTGAGTATGTTTTTCCCTCTTGTTGGTTCCCTCACCACCTGCCGCAGACCCAGTCTAGCAGCTATGTCCTTTAGGACCCAACCAGCTCGATCAGTAGTACTGCTGCTGAGCCACTCTTGGTGGTGGACATTTTGTGCCCTGTCGTTCAACATGGAGGAGGAGTACTGATTCATCAGCTGAGGGAGGACGATATGTGGTAATCAGCAGGAGGTTTCCTTGCCCATGTTTAACCTGAAGCCATGAGACTTCATGGAGTCCAGAGTCAATGTTGAGGACTCCCAGGGCAATGCCCTCCTGACTATATACCATTGTGTCACCACCTCCGCTGGGTCTGTCCTGACCTTTGAAATATTCCCACATGACATATGTACATTTACCCTCAAACAGCTGCCCTCAATCTACATTTCTCAGTTCCTTCCTAATATTGCAGTTGCTAGCCTTCCCCCATTTTAATACTTACAGCTGAGGATTACTCTTGTCTTTATCCATAAGTAACTTAAAACTTACAGAATTATGGTCACTGTTCCTGAAATGCTTCCTCCCTGAAACTTTGATCACCTGGTCAGGCTTATTCCTCTAGTATGGCCCCATCTCTAATTGGATGATTTCCATACTGTTTCAAGAAACCCTCTAAGGGAGTCCCAGTCCATAAAGTCATAATAGAAGCTAAAATATTGTCTTGACACCTCAAAATACTCGATATGCTAGTTTTGTTTTTTCAACATGTAGTTTCGTACAGGAAGACGAAAGATAGATAAATAATAACAATATCTTGTTTTTTTGAAACCAGATCAAGGGTTGGCATTTCCAGGCATAGTATTGCTTTGCTGAAGAAAGCATTAAGCACTGTGAAAATACAACGAACTGCACGTGAACTCCCGCAAACAAAAACTCGACCAAGTCCAAATGTTACACTCGAGGATGTTAAAAGTGAGCATATCACATGCAATATTACGCTTTGCATGCTTCCTTTTCTCAATCGCTGCCTCCAATTCATTTTCAAAGGTACTAATTCCAACTGCGGCTAACGTACAACCCATTTCAGCCCCTCCATGCATTGTAATTCACAATAGTGCGAGCAATCCACCTCCTGACTCCTCCAAGTCTATCCACCATCAGGCACAAGTCACAAGTATGATGGAATACTTAGTTTGGTTTAATTGATTGTTGTCCTGTGTAACAAAATACAGTAAAAAGTGTTGTCTTGCATGCTGTACAGGCAGGTCATACCATACAAAATGTATCAGAGTGCAGGATGCAGTGTTACAGCCGCAAAGAAGGTGCACAGAGAGAGAGATTAACATTAACGTCAGAGAGGTCTGTTCAAAATTCTGATAACAGCGGGGAAGAAGCTGTTCTTGAATCTGTTGGTATATGTTTTCAAACTTTCGTATCTTCTGCTCGATGGAAGAGGGTGGAAGAGAGTATAACCGGGATCGGAGGGGTGTTTGATTATGTTGGTTGCTTTCCTGAGGCAGCGGGAAGTGTAGATAGAGTCAGTGGAAGAAAGGCTGGCTTGTGTGATGGGCTGGGCTGCTTTCACAACTCGCTGTAATCCCTTGCAGTCTTGGGAAGAGTTTGGATGGGTGCAGCTCCAAAAACATTCGAGAAGCTTGACATTATTGAGGACAAAGTAGTCTACCATATCCATAAACATCCATACTCTTCACCACCAGCAGTATGCACAAGATGCACTACAGACATTCACCAAAGATCACCAACGCTCAGCAACAGTAGTGTGTACTATCTGCAAGATGCATTGCAGAAATTCAAAGATCCTCAGACAGCACCTTCCGAACCCACAACCACTTCCATCTAGAAGGACAAGGGCAGCAGATACATGGGAACACCACCCTCTGCAAGTTCACCTCCAAGCCACTCACCATCCTGACTTGGAAATGTATCGCCGTTCCTTCACTATTGCTGGGTCAAAATCCTAACATTCCTTGCCTAAGCACATGGACTGCAGCGGCTCTAGAAGGCAGTTCACCACCACCTTCCCAAGGGGCAGTTAGGAATTGGTAAAAAAAAAACCACATCCCATGAACAAATTAAAAAAATACAGCCCCTCCATTTTCTCCACTATTTACAATTCCTTGTTTAGAACCTGCTCAATGTTGATTCTGTCCGCAGTCTAACTGTACAAGAAACAGCAGTGAGAGTAGACCACTTGGTCTGTTGAATCTGCTCAACTGTTTGATATGATTGTTGCTGATCGACATCAACCCCACTTTTCCACACCATCTCCTCATCCCTTGATACTCTTTGGGCAGAATCTTATCTGGCGCTGAATAATGTATAGTATGATGAAAAGTCATGTGGAAAGTTCCGTGAGGCCTTTCTTGACACCTCAATAGTTATTGAGGCAAGATTCTAACAAGTGAGCAGCCCACTAATGGGGATTATTGCTTGTAAAAACTGCCTCTTTAATTACAAATATCAGATCATTAATAGGCAGCTTTCTATGCTACCATCACCCGAGGGGCATGGTTAGGTTTAGGGTTAGGGTTAGGGTTAGGGTGAGGATTAGGGTGACGGTTCTGCTTAGAGTTAAGGTTAGAGTTAGGGTTAGGGTGAGGATTATGGTTAGGGTGAGGATTACGCCAAGGGTTAAGCTTAGAGTTCAGTTAGGGTTAGGATTGGAGTGAGGATTAGGGTTAGAGTTAGGGGGAGAGTTAGGGTTGGGGTGATGATTAGGGTTAGAGTTCATGTGAGGGTTAGGGTTAGGGTTAGAGTTAGGGTTTGGGAAGGGCCAGGGTGAGATTTATGGTGAGAGTTAGGTTTAGGGTTAGGGTTAGGGTGAGGGTTAAGCTTAGAGTTACAGTTAGGGTTAGGATTGGAGTGAGCATTAGGGTTAGAGTTAGTGGGAGAGTTAGGGTGGGGTGATGATTAGGGTTAAAGTTCATGTGAGGGTTAGGGTTAGAGTTAGGGTTGGGGAAGGGCTAGGGTGAGATTTATGGTGAGAGTTAGGTTTAGGGTTAGGGTTAGGGTGAGGGTTAGGGTTAGAGTCATGGTTAGGATTGGAGTTAGGGTTAGGATTGGAGTGAGGATTAGGGTTATGCAGCATCCTGTACTACCACCAACCACAAGGAAACTAGTTATTGGCCGATGTGAAGGGCAGGTACCAGATGACTCCAGTAGTCTGCCTGCTATCTTGGACACCCAGCAACAATATCTGAGGGCACTGGCTACATGCCCCCCCCACCGCCCCACCTCCACAACCCCACCCCCCGTTCTCCACAGCTACTGGCATCTAATGCCTGCCAGCATCTCAGGGTTCTCGTGGCATCTTCCTGATCCACTCGTAGGATGTGTGCGTACTTTAAAGTTGAACCAGAGTGAAAGGCTGCAGCAAGGTCCCATTGCACAGGGACAGGCAGCCAGCTCATAGACTGGACTAGGCCAGATCTCAGCGCTGCTCACTTTACTCTCTCACCACTCGCTCACCTTCAGCCTCCCTAGTCTCGCAGCATGCATGCCTTTGTGCATTTCTCCCCCACAGCCAGAGCTAACAGGCTCGTGGTACTTCTCTCTTGCCTTGCTGTTTAGCCTGTCATTATTGTCAACAGTACTTTTCCAAAATGTAATTTCTAAAATTCATTTGATTCTGGAGAAGTACCAGACAATTAGAAAACTGTCAATGTGATACTCTTATTCAAAAAGAGAGGGAGGGAGGCAAAAAGCAGGAAACTACAGGCCAATTAGCCGAGCATCTAATGTTGGAAATGTGTTGAAATCAATTATTAAGGAAGTAATAACAGAACATTTGGAAAATCATAATCCAATAAAGCCGATTCAGTATGGTGACATGAAAGGGAAATCGTGCCTGGCTGATTTATTAGAGGTTTTCAAGGAAGTCTCAACCAGAGTGGATAGAGGAGAACTGGTAGATGTGTTATATTTGGACTTCCAGAAGGCATTCGACAAGATACCTCACAAAGGGTTAAGTCACAAGAGCCCACTGTGTTGGAGGGAGTATGTTGACATTGATAGAGAATTGGCTAATGGGCAGGAAATGGTGAGTGGGGATAAGGGGTACTTTTTTAGATTGGTGACCAGTGATGTTCCACAGGGATCAGTGCTCGGACCACAACTGTCTGTAATATATATTAATGACTTGGAGGAGGAAAGTAAATGTACATAGAACATAGAACAGTACAGCACAGCACAGGCCCTTCAGCCCACGATGTTGTGCTGACCTATTATCCTACTAAGATCAATCTACCCTGCATACCGTACATTTTACTATCCTCCATGTGCCTATCCAAGAGTCGTTTAAAAGTCTCTAAAGTATCTGACTCCACTACCACTGCTGGCAGCGCATTCCACACACCCACCACTCTCTGTGTGAAGAACCTACCTCTGACATCTCCCCTATACCTTCCTCCGATCACCTTAAAGTTATGCCCCCTCGTAATAGTCATAAGTGCTATAACCAAATTTACAGACAACACAAAATAGGTGGAAAGGCAAGTTGTGAGAAAGATACAAACAGTTCACAGAGAGATATTGATAGGTTAAGCAAGTGGGCAACAAATTGGCAAATGGAGTATAATGTGGGAAAATGTTAAGTTGTTCATTTTGGAAGAGAGAACAAAAGAACAGTGTATTATTTAAATGGAGAAAAAGACTGCAGAAAGCTGCAACACAAAGGCACTTGTGGGTAGTTGTGCATGAAACACAGAAAGCTAGCACACAGGTGCAGCAGGTAACTGGGAAGGCTAATGGAATGTTGGCCCTTATTTCAGGGGTGTTGGTATATGAGTAGGGGTGTCTTACTGCAACTATATAAGGTGCTGGTGAGACCACATCTGGAATACTATGAGCTGTTTTGGTCCCCATTATTTAAAGAAAGGTATTATTTCATTGAAGGCAGTCAGAGAAAGTTCACTAGGATGATTCCTGGTCTGGAGGGATTTTCATATGACCGGTTCTACTCGCTGGATTTTAGAAGAGTGAGAGGTGATCTCATTGTAACATGTAGCATTCTTAAGGGGCATGACAGAGTAAATGCCGAGTGAATGTTTCCCTCCTGGGAGAGTCTAGGACCAGAGGGCACAGTCTCAGAATAAAGGGACACCAATTTAAGACTGAGATGATTGATTGATTGATTGATTTATTGTCACACTTACCAAAATACAGTGAAAAGCTTTGTTTATGAGCAGTACAGGCAGATCATAGTAAGCAATGATGTACAGATCAAAAAGACTTAGACTGAGGCAGAGATAGTAGGAACTGCAGATGCTGGAGAATCCGAGACAGCAAGGTGCAGAGCTGGATGAACACAGCAGGCCAAGCAGCATCAAAGGAGCAAAAAGGCTCAAGTTTCGGGCCTAGAACCTTCATCAGAAATGGGGGAGGGGAATGGACTGAGGCATACAGGTTACGTGAAGCAGGGCGTGCACAAGGCAAGATCAATGTTAGCAAGATCAGCATTATTTGAAGCTAGAGAGTCCATTCATCAGTCTGATAACGGCCGGGAAGAAGCTGTTCCTGAACCTGC